AAGATGAAGATTCTGATGTGAATGAAAAAACAGACTAAGAAGACAAAGAATGTGAATATGAACACGATGACCCTGATGTCAATGAAAACACAGACTGGTTTTGCTTTACGACGTGACAATAGATTACATTCGAGCTTACGAGGCAGGGTCTTTTGCAGAATTTAACGACAGAGTCGACCAAAAATAACTGACCTTGAGAATCAAATAAAAAGGTTAACAAAAAAACGTTCAAGGTTAACTTCAATACAAGCCGAGGCATCGGGTAAAGGGAAAGACGACACGCTAATTGATCTTATACTGTTATCCCAAGGCCAAGTTGATACATACACAGAAGCCCGTCGCATCGCTTTAGAATTTATTCAAAAGGATTTTTAGGCAACGACAACGAGGAGAAAACGAGGACCATCAGAGCCGCTCAAACCGAACCCAGGCCCACTCTTTTAGTTACTGGGTCTGGTTCAAACGCCCCGGTTATGCATTGCTTGCACAAGAGAGAGGCTCCCGGTGATTTTTTACACGCTGGTGAACAGGGAAGTGATATTCCTCTGGGGTTTTACAACGTGGATTGGTTTGATTTTATTTTAAATGCAATTCCGGGCGTGAGTTTTAAAGTTCACGAAAAGTCAAACTTGGTGGCAATTATGATAACGGATATAAATCTCAGAATAAAGTTGGGCAAAGAAGTCGGCAAGCTTTTAAACCTGCTGAGAGGTAGGCTCGTTCCAAACGTTATTTACAAGGGTAAAATAAATACAAATCCTTTTGACGAGCTTTGGATAGACTGTCGTGAAATAAACGACCATTTTAATTACTTCAGCGGACGACCTTCTTACGCGTTGTGTACCGCGTCTGACCCGACGAAAGCGTTAAATTACTCGTAAATAAGCGAATAACTAGCTTTGAATTTTCGTTGAGAAACGAGCGGCAAGAAGTCGTCAACAATAAAGACGGTACAATTTCACTCGAGGTATACATTTTTGAATGCGTGTAAGGTAAAATGGAAACGCACGCTTTTTATTTGACCGAAAGCGAGCAGACGTTTGAATTGAAACACGACATTGATAACACAAAAGGCGATAAGAACATTTGTGTTAAAAATACACAGCTAGACTCCGAGTATTTCAACGTGACAAAAACCACAGAAATTGAGTGGGACGTAAAAATTAACCTATTCAATTTCTTTATGGAAGTGGAAGGTATGGTTAATGGCACAGTAGGCAAATATTTATTAAATGAATATCTAGAACAATCTGCAGCTAAATTGAAACAATCGACGCAAGCGTTAGTTGGTTGGTTAATATATTTATTTGAGATTTACCTTTCTAATGTATGGCGGAAAGTAAGAGATACATATTATTATACACGTAATTGGGAAAATTTGTCCATACTATAAATTACGAAAAAAGCCATTTTCTATCACTGGCAGAGGCAACGAGACAAACTTCAGAAAAGTTCTTTAGTGATAGAAAGATAGCAAGTGCTTCTGGTAATCATTATACTAGACAAATTGATCTTTTAGGCTTACACGGTGAGGTTCTTAAAAAATTGAAGGGGCAACAGACGCAGAAAAGGAAATAATAATTGAAGGAGTAATACGAGGACATGAACGTTTATTGGCCAGGTTACTTCATAAAGATATAATAAATAAACTTTCTTTATCCGAAGTAACATTTGAGAGAAAAGTAAAATATCTNATGGATTAAACCTCCTATTTATTATTATAAAAGGGGGAAGCTTTTTAATACGTGATCCAAGAAAAGAAACTATTTTAAGAGAACTCGACGCCGATATATTTGATAGTTTTCAAGGGCAAGACACGTTTGAACGTTTACCCGAAGATACAAGCGGAAGTATAATATTATTGCCCGGTTGTTATGGTATAGATTGATTTAATTTTATTTTAAACGCTATTCCAGGTGTGAGTTTTAAAGTTTTTTCGGAGACAATGAAAGTGACTTTAGTTGTTCTAGACCCTAGACTCAGATTGGTGCTAAATAAAGAGGTAGCTAAGCTGTTGGGTCTGCCCAGAGATAGACTTTCTTATAAGACTGTTTATCAAAGTAATTATGATTTAAACCCCTTGAAATGTGTGTTTATTCATTGCAAACAGTTAAATACAAACACTAACTTTTATAACGGGCAATCTTCGGACATGTTGGACGTTGTAGCTGCTGTATCTGGCGATTCGGTTATTGTGCAAGATAAGAAAGAAATATAGACAGGTAAGAGACAGAAACATTGACGATTTGACTTTTTCTTTAAAAAACAAGCGGGGTGAACTAGAAAGCAACAAAGGCGACGGGATTTTAATCGAGTTGGACCTTTTAAAAACACGTATATAATAAAAAGATGACAAAATAAACGTCGAGTCAATCATGTATCCGGATTTGAGTAAGTATCCACAGTTAAACTCAGCCGAACAAGCAGAGACTAAAGTCTACAGACTCAAAAAGATCGAAGAAATCAAATCGCAGATCTTAAGAGAACGCGACGCACGTGAGCACAGTTACAAAAAGATTGAAAGGCTATTAACCACTTTAAACTACGTGGAAAACGGTGTTGAAGCGATTGGCGCCACTTCAGCAGCTAAAGGAATCCCCGCCATTATGGGAGTCATCACCAGACCCGTAGGACTTGTAATGGAAGGTCTCGCCATCGGCGCATTTGGGGCTTACGCGATGCTAAAGCACGCCATCCGCCCACAAAACTAAAAAGCACGATCAAATCCGCGTGCTCGCAGATGCCAAGCTAAACACCATCGACAAATACGTGTCTCACGCGATTGAAGACGGTGACGTGTCTCAGGAGGAATTTGCACTAATGTGTACAAAATTACAAGAAAATAAATCAACGAGTAAAGAGGAATTTGAACGACAAGTCAATGAAAAAGCAGAAGTGCTAGCCAACGAAAGGGCCACAATTTTTTAAAAAGATCTTATGAAAAAACTTGGCGAGTAACTTTGCACAAGTCTATCAAGTACGATGACCCGCCTCCGGCTTACTGAGAAATAAACCCACCGCGCCTCCTTTTTAAAAAGGCTCTTTAAAAGATGGGACAATTTAGTCATTTGGCAATCGTAGTCGATAAAGACACCTGGTTTTCATCCGAGTTTCCAAATTTAACGCACGGGTATAAATTACCGAGAGTGAAAACGGGCGAAGCAGTCAATCGTTGGGCAACTGAACCAATTTGTTTTACCAAAACCAATTTAAT